CCGCAGTCGACCCGCCGCAGACCCGGCGCCGGAGGCCGGGCCGTCACGGGGAGCCGCTCGGCGCTCGCTCCGGGGCTGCCCGCCCCCCAGCGGGGCCCAGGGGAAGCGGCTGCCAGCGGCCGGGACGCCGGTCCCCGCGGGGCAGGGGGCGCTCCGACGCCCACCTGCGGGCCTAAGCGGGGCGGGCGCGCCGCAGCCCCGGGCCGGCACGCGGGGCTGAGGCTCAGCTGTCACCCCGCCGGGCCAAGCGCGCCCGGAGGCGAGAACTTGGCAGGCGGTGGGAGCACGGACCCGGATGGCCTCGGGGGTCCCACGGGGCCCCCTCCCCGTCAGCCCCGCCGCCGCCGTCGCCGCACTCACCTTCTTCCGGGGCTGCCATTTCATCATATTTGTACAGCCGACCCGGGACGCATCAAGAGGTGGGCTGGGGGCTGGGGGCAGACGCAGGGCGGCGGCGACTGCAAGTCATGCTGCCTCCTTGCTCCCCCTCGTTCTTTCCCGGATAGGACGGACAGTCTTCGTCTTCGGTTCAGCGCGAAGTGCCGCGGCCACCACACTCTCCCACGGGGCTAGGACGTCCCGGCGGCCAGCGGCGCGCCCGGGCCGGAACGGGGCATGTTCCCCGACCCGCGCCTGCGAAAAGGCTCCGGGAAGGAGCTCTCCGATGGGCCGCAAACCCCCTCAGAGCAGAGACCCACGGCACGAGCTGCCACAGAAACCCGGCGGGGCTCCTGCCATCCAAGCCCCTCTTGGCGAATTCTCCTCTTCTCAAAAAAAGAGAAAAAGATTAGACAAGCAATCAAACCCTCTCACGCAGACTGGAGCAAGTCCCAAAATTCTGGGTGTATTTCTCGTTTGTAAAAATTTAGCAAAGAAAATTCCAAAGATCTGTAATCAGAGCTTCTTTGCGCAGTTTTCTGCTTCTTAGACAACTTGGGGTCGGATCTGCCCTTCCGAAATGTCCACCTTCCCTGAACACAGTAAATAGGAAAACTTGGTTTGTGTGTTTAGATATTTTTTTTCTTAATTCCCAAGAACCTAAGTGGGGAAAGGCTGGGAGGAAATCCTGCAAGAACCTAACTCCACAGCTTGGTCTGCACTAATGACTTCCTTCCCTTCAGTGTGAGCACAGCCAGCCCAGCTCCAGCCACGCAGAGCACAGAGTTTCTGGGTCTTAGTGCCACGACATCTACTACACAGCAAAAAAGTGAAGCTACAGTTCCATAGGCGTCCACAGGCTGGCTCTGAAACCTCTCCAGAATTCTTATATTTGTGTGAGCTACATGGAGAAATAAAGGGGGCAAGAGTCCAAATCAAACTTCCACAGAGGGGCTGGAGAGATAGCTGCGTGGCAAACTGTACTGAAAACCTGCTCCCAGAGGACAAGCCATTTTCTGGGATCTGACCTCCAATGACTCCTGCACATGGCTGTGCACCTAAACTCAAACAAGCAAAACACACTTAACCCAAATAAAATAAATAATAAATGAATCTAAATAAAGCCTCAAAAATTCTTATTTAAAGAAAAGATTTGAGATCTCAATCAAGAAAAACGTTAATCAGAAACTTTACCACAAATAAACTTAAATATAAATTTTAGTTGCTTCTCTAAATTAAATTGCTTTTAAAAATAACTAAGTCTCACTATATAAGTAAGATCGGTCTTGAACTTGTGAAATCAAGCCATCCTTCCACTTCAGCCTCCTGAGTAGCTTAGCTGGAGCCATAGGCACAGACCACCATGCTTGAGTAGCATTAACTGTATTACTATGAAATATTGCAGCCTTGCAGTGGTGGCACACGCCTTTAATCCCAGCACTTGGGAGGCAGAAGCAGGCAGATTTCGGAGCTCAAGGCCAGCCAGGGCTACAGAGTGAGTTCCAGGACAGCCAGGGCTACAAAGAGAACAGCCTAGAAAAAAGATAGATGAATAGACTGGATAGATAGATAGATAGATAGATAGATAGATAGATAGATAGATAGATAGATAGATAGATGAAGATAGATAGGATAAACAGATATAGATGGACAGGGTCTTATTCTTCTTTTGTGTAATAATTCTATCTCATGGATACTGACTAATCTATGAATATAAAATACTATATAATACTATTATCATGTATTATCCAACATACCTGTCAACTGCCATTCTACCTTAAGGTTATTTTGGTCGATGCGAATATAATCGGCATTAGAGGTTACTGTTCTACTAAGGGGTGCACACACTACTAACTGCATCCCACGTTCCTCATGAGCTATCAGAACTAACTTATGCAGGGAATCTGATGCAGACAGGAGTGTCACTCACTAAAACACCCAACACAATTACAGTCAACCTCCAGTGACTCTCACTCCACCTTCCACGTGAGGTTGCTTGCTCAACTGAAGCACACACGCAGACAAAGCTTGAGGACAGGACCTTACTCCAGAGTCTACGTCATTACACACTCAACACCACAGCGACATGCCACATAACCCTGCCATGTCCTCGCACAGTTCCAGGGACTGGGACCTGACTGGGGTTGTAAGGGAATAAAGGAAAGACAGATAGATGGACACCTGGGGTCAGATGGTCTGGGATCTCTGATGGAGAAACCTCAGCTCTCCAGAAGCCCAGCGTGTTTAGTATCTGGAGTTGAACAGAGCTGAGGTTACTGCCTTCAGATGAACGAGGCAGGGTCCATAGTGTGCACCGGTCCAAGGAGACACAGTTAGCAATCTCAGTTGGAGCAGTCTTTGCAGGGAGCAGTCTTCAGGCCATAAGCACCCAGAGGAGAAAGCTATTGTGAACATTTTCTGCACACATCATAAACACTTGAACTCAAGTCTCTGGGAGAAGGCTTTGCCAACTCTCTGACCCTGAGACTCGTGGGTCCCTGACAAGGCTGTGCCCATGTCAAAGCACACGTTCACTCACTCAGGGCTCTCTCCTTCCACTACACACCCCTCGTCATCACTGTACCTCCTGCCCACCCCTTTCCTGGGCGCTACACACACGAGGAAGAGGCTGCTCCAAATCATGACTTCAGCCACAAAGAAGGCCAACGTTCTCAGTGTACTGTGACAGACTCAAATTGTTCTGGCAACTTCATACGCATATCCTACTACAACTGAAAATTCCCTATCGACTTTCCTAAAATCAGCTCTCTTCCCAACAGCCCTAGCTTCTGTCCATGATGTCACTATGTTCCCAAGATCACAGACTCCTGCCACGACATTCCCCACATCGAATCTACAAACTCCTGTAACTCCTTCCTAGATGGCACTTTCAAATTCTTCTTGCCGACACCTGTGAGTTCCAGGCCAGTTGGGCTCCAATAGGAGACCCCTATCAAAATTCAAAACAAGAATGAATGAAGAAAGAGTAGAAAAGAACAGGGAATGAGTGAGACTCCATTCTACTTAATACAGAAGACAAGGCAGTTTGTTGTTGGAATCAAAATCAGTTTACTGTATAGAACACAAAGCACTGAGAAGATTAACAGTAAGAAAGGTCACAGCTGAAGCAGTATCTCTGTCTCACTGTCTCTGTCTCTCTCTGCCTGTGTGTGTGTGTGTGTGTGTGTGTGAGAGAGAGAGAGAGAGAGAGAGAGAGAGAGAGAGAGAGAGAGAGAGAGAGGGAGAGAGAGAGAGAGTTGGGGTTCCAGGCTGATCTTTAATGCCTGTGCTCAGGATATTTTCCTGACTGAGCCTCACAAACTGTTGGTATAACAGATATGTATCATGCCCTCATTGAATTTTAGCCTACCCAATACAAAAGAAAATATTAACTCTGAGTTTATGAGGCTTTAGTAACTTTTTTAAAACTATGTGCATAGTTTAAAGGCTCATTATTGCTCATTGATGATAACAAAACTCAAGTTCAGAGTCTTTCCATGATCTGGCCACATCCGCACCCACGGCCACATCCCAAGTCTACAGCAAAGAAAGACCTAGAGTTCTGGCCTCTCCTGGAGACATGAGTGGCTGGTGGTGGCCTTGGGGTAAGGGGACATTTCCTTTGGCTTTCTATCTAACACATTTTCAGATGGGCGGGGCAGGCAGAATGCATACATGAAAACCAGGTCTAAACAAAGGGAGCTATGAGGATGTGAAGCTAGAGTCCCTGCGTCGGGGGACGGAGCAGGTGGTGAGGGCCCTTGGCGAAGCCTCTAATCTGTCAGGAGGAGCTACAAACTTCTTCATTTCCTTTTGCTCAGAACTCTCCCAAGGCATTCTAACAAGCCAACCAAAACATGCCTGTCAAAAGGGAATCAACCCAATTACATCGGAGTCATCCAAAGCTTTAAGATGTCTTCCAGTTGTTTAGATACCTTCCCTGTGTGTCACATATTTGTAATCTGTGTGGGATTTCTTCCTCTGAAGTCTAGTAACTGTTTTAGCTTTCATTTAATAGAGGACCATTAACTAGAAGCTTTTAAATAGCAATACCATACTTAATCTTTTATATTTTTTCTTCTTTGTATCTTATTTACTAGGCTAAATATAATAAACGGTGAATTGGTGTTTATATCTGAGATAGTCACAGGCTTCCTTTATGTTACTACATTAGCAACATTAGGAATTATTTATATGCAGCTATTGTTACCACAGGTCAAAATGATCCCCACACACATAATATCATTGCTTCCAAGACTCAAAACTGAACACCAAGAATACATTTTACAGATCTTAAGATACTAAAGGGCATTTTTTACACCTTCTTGATTTTTAAAAGATATATTTAATTATTTTATGTATAGACATTTTTTTTTGCCTGCATGTGTTTGTGCATCAGGTGCACGCCTGGGGTACTCATGGAGGCCAGAAGAGGGCGTCAGATCCCTGAAACTGGAGTCACAGATGGTTGTGAGCCTCCATGTGGGTGCTGGGAACTGAACCCTGGTCCTCCAGATGAGCAGAAAGTTCTCTTAAAAGCTCTTAATTGAGTTCTTAATTCAGCATTGCTATCACACTCTTCAGGATTCAGTAACGACCGACACATGTCACCCCGACTGTGGAGAGGGGCCTGTAGGGACTGGCATGTGTCACCCCGGCTGTAGACAGGGGCCTGTAGGGACCGACACTGAAATGCTCGCCTCTTGCACATCCACACTGTTTTAAACCAGACAACTAAACACAATGTTGAGCTATGTTTGGAGAATATGGACATTTTCCTAAAGACCCCCTAAAGGGGTGTGAAGTAAACGGCTATCAGTGGAAGTGCATCTGATACAAAAGGCCTAATTTCTCAGTGACAGTCCACACAATCAGATGCTTTAGGAATGTGAAAGCCTTGCTTTGCTAAGGAACTGATATCACTTGGCAGTTCAGCAGTGAGCCACACGACCCCTGGCTGCGGAAACTGCCTCTGTCCTCTAAGGTCCCTGTCTCACCTCCTCTCTGCAGCAGCCCTGGAGAGGCTGGG